CTTTCCCAGTCCTCTTCCCCTCCACTGTGGGGCTGCTGGGAGGCTGCTGGGAGAGGTAGTCCCTCCATGCCTATGAGGTGTGTGTGTCCTTCTTGGAGAGAAGCAGGCAGGCATGCAAGTCCTCTTTATTTGCAGGGTGCAAATAAACGCTAACCCTGGTAGCTTTTTCTGCCCTGGGAGTCTTGAGGAGGAAGTGGCTCATTCATTAAGGATATGGGTTGGGGAAGGCTGGTGAGGGAAAGTTTTGCTGTGAAGATGAGTTTGGACTTACACTTGAGGGATGGGGAAGACCTGCCAGAGGGAAAGACCAGTGCAAGGTAAGGATATCAGAACTGGGTGTGTTGCACAAGTGGCACGAACTGTCATGCCAGGCCTTGAGGCACTGTGGCAGGAGTGTGATAGAAGAGGAGGTGGACCCCAGGAAAGTCCTGGGTGGAGGTGGGGATGTTTCTCTGATGTGGCCTGTGGTCAGAGGGAAGAAGCTGAATCATGGCCCAGGGTAGTCTGCTTCCCTCCTGCCCTTCAGTGTCCCAGAAGTCCAAGCTTTGCCCCAGGGTCTCAGGTGGAGGTGCTGCTTGAAATGTGGTTCATGGAACTGTTAGCTTTGGAGAGATTTGATGAGCCATTTCCCAACACTTGTCTCAACTTTTAAATTCCGGATGATTACCAGGATTGAATATATTGTTACTGTTTTAGTTGGACTCTTCATGCAGAAATCAGTGTAAAATCTGTGAACCTGGAGAGGCTTTCCTAGGGATGGTACAGATTGCTGGAGTTGGTTTAGGAGCACTCAGGCTGCAGACTGCAGCCATGAAGGTGCTATTTTGCTCCTGGTGCTGATTTTCCACTACAGATCAGAGCAGCTCAGTGACTATTGGGCAATACAGCAGGACCTAGCATGAAGCCTGGAAGGTCATTCAAGTCYCTTTCAAAGACTCCTCAAACCAGAGTAAGGTATTTAGGAGTAGGCACTGTTGAAGATTAACAGAAACCCAAAGAACATCATGTAAATGGACCGTGGACCCTACCATGCAGAGCACAGGCTGCACGCGTGGTCACCACCACGGTCTCTGCTGGGTAGCATGGGTGGGGCGGATGTGTTTGAGAGTCTGTACTGTAATGACCCCCGTCTTGCACAATCACAGAATTGGTTTTCACTGTGTAAGCACTTCTCCGGGGATTGGTTATGTTGTGTTTCAGCTTAAAGAGCCTTTCGATTTGAGCCTGATCTCATGTCTCTATTACCCAAGGCTTGGAGGTGGCACTGCAGCCCTGAGGCTGTCCCTCAGCTGCAGGTGAAAGTGTGGCTTTGTGCACGAGGGCCTTAAGACAAACTGGAAACTGTGAAACCCCATCAGGGGAAGGAGGGTGCATGGAAGTGCAGAGCCATTGAAATCGCCATTTTTATCACCGTTCTTCATGCCCAGGCCTGTGTGTGACTCTGCTGCTCTCATTTCTCCTTTCTGCATTCACCCTTTAAGAACCCCATGAACAGAGCAGGACATAGTTTGAAGCCTGGGCAAATGGCAAGGAAGATTTAACTCCTAAAACTGATGGTGGCATGGTAACATGCCACTGGAGAGAAGACCATAGCAGGGCCATAGGCAGGGCCACTGAATCTTTGGGGTGTGGCAGGACTGGAGCAGCCAGTGCTATAAAAAGTGATGAACCATTTGTGTCAGAAAATGAACAGAAATAGATCAAGCCTTTGTGAGAGTTTTCCTTTTCTTCCAGAGAACCTGTTTTAAAATAGTGTTCTCCATAGTACTGTGTTGTAAAATTAGTTTACCACAATATCTTACTCTCTGGGTTACTATGGGAAATTGACTAGAACCCCCTGTATGGTTTAATTGTATAACTGAAATCACAACCAGCCTTGAAGTTCCAAATCCCAACGAGGAAGCCGGATGCAACCTAGCAAAGACATTTCCTTGCACAGGTCCCTTCCTTGGGGGCCAAGCCTCTTTAGTCCTGCTCCCAGGAGCTGGTCTATCTTCAACAGGCCCTGAGTGATTATCTCTGTCTTTCCAGCAGGTTTAGCTCTGTTTTTCAGTGTAGTAGCTGCCCCATCAGACATTAGACCGCATAGTGAGGCAAAGAGCTTTAGAATCTGAGTAGGCTCAGCCTGATCATGCCATTGGCCAAAGGTGTGGTTTAGTCCACCAAAGTCATTTCTGCATGTTCAACTGAAGATAGTGGTGCTGGTTCCATGTTCCAGTGATTTGGGTTAAGTAAGGTAATTCATGTGAATATGCCCTTCTCCCAGCTCTTCAAACTACTCAAGTGATTTTTTTAATTGAAAAGTTGAATGACTTTGAGATATCTCTTTTTAATAGACACGCATCTCTTGGCCATTTAACAATGATATATTGATTATTCCTTTCTTTCTCTTACAAATTAAATTTACTTTTTTTKGGGGGGGGCGGGTACCAGGGATTAAACTCAGGGGTGCTCAACCACTGAGCCACATCCCCAGCCCTATTTTGTATTTTATTTAGAAACAGGGTTTCACTGAGTTACTTAGCTTTCACTGAGGCTGGCTTTAAACTCTCGATCCTCCTGCCTCAGCCTCCCAAACCGYTGGGAATACAGGTGTGTGCCACCATGCCCGACTTAAATTTACCTTTTAAAAACATTTTGGGTTATTGGTTTAAGGCAATTTGATGTGCCATGGTACAGTTTTCTATATGATTCCTGTGTTTTGTTAAGCTTCTCGGATCTATGGGTATATAGGATTTTCATCAAATTTGGAAACATTTTGGCCTTATTTATTAATATACTTTTTTGTTTCCCTCCTCTCCTTCAGGGACACCAATTACTTGTATATAGGCTGCTTGATGTTGTTCCATGCATCACTGATCTGCCCATCTGTCTCTTCTCTCTGTTTCATTTTGGGTAGTGTCTATTGTAGAGTCATCAAGTCTACTTATCTTTACTTCTTCAGTGTCTAGTCTGCTGTTAATCCTACCCAGTGTTTTTTTCAACACAGATATTGAGGTTTTATCTCTAAAAATCAGATTTGAATCTTTTAAACCTCTTCCAGGTATAAAACATTTCAGTCTTTGTTTCTTAGGTTCTTTTTTAAAAAAATTTTAGAAATATATATATTTTAGTTGTAGATGGACACAATACCTTTATTTTATTTATWTGTGATGCTGAGGATCAAACCCAGTGCCTCAGATGTGCTAGGCAAGTGCTCTAACACTCCACCTGAATTTTACCTTTTAGTGTGCTAGATTTTGTTTTGTTTTCTTTTCCTAAAAATATTCTTGATCTTTGTTCTTGGATGTGATGAAATTATTCAGAAACAGTTTGATCTTCTTGAAATTTGCTTTTAAGCTTTGTTGGTAGGGTGAGCACATTTGTTAGTCTAAGGATTATATTGGTAACCCTTCTGAGCACTCTGTGAATGGTGAGGTTTTCCACTTTTTTTATTAGTATTAGTTGTTCAAAACATTACATAGCTCTTGACATACATTTGATTCAAGTGGGTTATGAACTCCCATTTTTTCCCCGTATACAGATTGCAGAATCACATTGGTTACACATCCACGTTTTTACATACTGCCATACTAGTGTCTGTTTTAACTGGTGGAATGAGGCACTTCTCCTGGCTTGTATGAGCCTCAGGGATTGTTCATCTTGCTCCTGTCAGGTGGTTGTTTCCCAATCCTCTGATAATTCTCTTATCCACGAACCCTGATCCATACTCAGCTGAAGGCACAGGGACCATCCAGAATTTCGGCAGCACCTCCTCAAGCAGCTCTCCTGTCTTGAGTTCTCTGGTCCAGCTGCTCTGGGACTCTTGCTCTGTCTTCAACTCAGGAGCTTCTAGGTTCCTCCAGGGCCTCCCCTATATACTCCATGGCCTGGAAACCCTCTCTAGGCAGTAAGCCAGGGCAGTGGTGGGGCCCACCTCAATTATTTTTCCTCAGTGATCACTTTCCTGAGATGCATGATGGCCAGTGCCTGAAAGCCATTTTTTCCTGTTTAGCTCAGTTTTTTAGTTTTTCAGGGGCATGGGTTAATCTAGTCCCTGTTATTCCATCTTCACTAGACATAAATCCAAACCTAGTTTTTAAAACTTCTAATGAAATATTCTTAACATACAGGCAGCTGTATAGCATATTGGTTACTTGGATAGTCATTATCCAGCTTTATAATTTTCTTACATTTGTGCTGTATTTTGAGAAATCAAAATGTTGTAAATGCAGTTAAATCCTCTCTTCACGATACTGTTCTTCTCTTGCTTTCTACCCAGGTAACCAGTGTTCTGTAATTGATGGCTATCATTCTTGTGTGGATTTTTAGAATAGTTTTACTATATGTATGTGTTCTAAATAATCTCTATTAATAGTGTTATCATGAGCATTTAAAACAATTTCACATGTTTTATTCTTTGGTTTTCTTTCCTTTTTCATCAGCATTAAAGAAATATTTTTCCCCATGAAAAGTTACATGTAGCTGTAACTGGGAGGTACATGTTCCACAAGAATAATAAGAATCTTGCAGTTTTGTTCACTATGGTATCCCAAACATCTAGAATGGTACCTGGTACATAATAGGCATTCAATAAATATTTGTTTAATGAATGAATTCATTTTAAGTGCTATGTAGCATCTGATTATTTTTTTAATTTTTATTTTAGTTGTAGTTGGACACAATATCTTTATTTTATTTATTTRTTTTTATGTGGTGCTGAGGATTAAACCCAGCGCCTCACACATGCCAGGCTAGTGCTCTACCACTGAGCCACAATCCCATCCCACATCTGATTATCTTAATGCTATATAGCATCTTTCACTTAATGGTGTATTGTTGAATTCCACTACATGATAAAAGTATTGATTTATGTTCCCACCAGCAGTGTATAAATTTACCATTTCTCCATAATTTCACCACCATGAAGTATTATCTGATCTTTTAATTTCTACAATTCTGTATTCATGTCTTACTTTTTTCATGTTTTTAAATAGCACATTCCTTTTTTTTCCCTATAGAAATTCAATGTCATCTTTCCGTCCTGGGCGAGGGAATAGTGACAGTCGGAGGACTGTGTTTTATACCAATGAAGAGTGGGAACTTTTAGACCCACCCTCAAAGGACCTGGAGGAACCCGTGGTACAAGAAGAAAGAAAGAAGCAGATGCCTGAGGGAAACAAAGGTACAACATGCTCCTGATCTCTGTCTCTTTCTCTGCTGCCTTCTGTTAACCCTGTGACCAGGGAGCTACTTTATTGGTAGGTATTTCTAGAAGCATAGGGCCCAAGAGAGGCTTGTATTCTCTCTGTGGGACATAAAATGTAAAGGCTTAAAAAATGAAATGCTGTAAGAAATAAATGACCATCTAGTCCAATGGCTGTTAACCTTTTTCAGGAGATAGAAGAGCTGGAAATCATGCTGTTCTTTATGGAAATATTAATTTAAAAAGCTTTATTTATAGAAATTTGAAGTTGTACTCAAATGAAGAGACTACARTATTACGAATTCTAGTGTTCCCATTGTGTTAGCTTTCTGTTAGAGTAACAAATACCTGAGGTAAGCCAACTTAGAAAGTGAAAGGGTTATTTTGACTCTCAGTTTGGGAAGTTTTAGTCAGTTGTCTCATTGCTTTGGGCCTGTGGGAGCACAGCATGGTAAAAGTGTGTGGAATAATAAAACTGGATTCACTTTATGTCCAGGGAGAAAAAGTATTATAGGAGAAAGGGGCTAGTCTTATCCCACTAAGACTCAGTGGTCACACTCCAGTAACCAAAGACCTGCCACTAGGTCCCACCTCTTAAAGTTTCCACCACCTCCCAGTAATGCCAAGCTGGAGATTAAGCCTTAGCAGGTGGACCTTTGGGGATATTCAAGATATAAGCTATAACACCCATCACCAGTTTCGCAATTTTGAATTTATCGTCTCTCTTATTCTTTCCTTGTCTCCCCTAGGATTCTGCCTTTCTTGCACACACCACCAGGCTGTATTATTTTAAATTCTGGACACTTGTAAATACTTTAGTAGGTATCTCTAAGAGATAATGACTCTTTTTAAAAAAAATATAATTATAGCTTTATTTTTACATTTAAAAGGAGTTACAGTAAATCCTTTATATTATTTAAGTCCCCAATTGTTCCATAAATGTTCAGTTTTTTCAAATGAAGATCAAACAAGGCCCACATATTGTATTCAGTGACAAGTCTTCTTAAGCCTCTCTTTTCTAGACTGCTCCCTTATTCCTTCCCTTCTCCCTGCCACATGTGTGGAGGAAATTAAATCTTCAAGCTAAGGACATCGCTACCTCTGGATTTTGCTAACTGTATTTCTTGGCTTGAAGGGATGATCATTTAACATATGCCTTCATTTCCTGCGTTTCCTCCATGCTGCTAGTCACAGCTAGAGGCTTGCTCAGATTCAGGGTTGACTTAATTTGAACAAAGTACATTTTCTTTGAAGAGGGGGTACTGTTTACTTGCTGTTGCACCCCCTGTGGAGCCATACCATGTCTGGTCTTTCCTCTGATAATATTTCAGTTGATCTGTGTTTAGGAGTGTTAGTCTGATCCATTCCTAATAACATCCATCAGCCTTTTGCTTAATGATTGTAGCAGCCATTCATAATCTAGATTCACTAAGTAATATTAGTGTTTTAAACAAAATTACAATAAATAATTTTGAAATATTGCCTTATGCTTGATTCAGCATGGGCCAGCAAGAGCAGGAGGCATAATTTCGGGAAATCTTTATGGAAAGACCAAGAATTTACTAAAGATAAAAATTTTTTTCTGTCCCCTGGGAAAGGGCATCCATGATTCACTTTGAGAAGGGGGCTTACTCCGTGTTCTGTAGAATCCTGGCATGAAACCCACCGCCCATACTACATGATACACTTGGCAGCCAGTTGAACACTAGCTGCCCAGTGCATGGCAGTTAGTGAGAATAAATACCCAGGACTCACTGTGACCTGGGAATGCTTCCTGGAAGAAGAGGGATTAGGACTGGGGCTTTGGATCATTGAAAATGAGCACTTTTCCTCTGACTTTTAGTAGAAACTGAGAATGAAACAGAAAGCATGAATGTAAGYAAGATTGGGAAGGGCGATCAGTGTGACTAGTGCCTTGGGAGTGATGAGAATCTCTCAGCACTGCTGGAGAGGAACTGGCAACAGCTCTCTAAGCTTCTGCCCAGTCCTGCTTCCCTTTGAGGGGGGGCTCCATGAAAGACACTAATGTCTTTGGAATTTGATCTTGCTTGATTCGTGAGCATTTCCTGTATCAACTCTAAGAATCAACTCACTAGCTTATTGTCCATGTTATTTGTAGGAAGTGGACTACCCTTCCTTATCTCCCCCTGCCTTGATTTTAAGCAAACTTTTTGATATTATTGTATCGAAACATAATATGCAGAAAAGCTCCCAAGTTAGAGTTGCTCAATGAATTGTCACAAAGCAAACACACCATGTAACCAGTGCTCCTTAGGTGCTAGCTGCACTGTCTCCCAGGGTCCGCTGTTCTCCCAATTTTAGATAAATCAGCTTTTATAGTGTGTGCCCTTTTGGGTCTCCTATTTGTATTTTGACATGTATCTGACTTTGTATTTGACTTTGTATTTATCTACACTAAAATTTATTTGGATCCCATGATATTTTTTAAATACTCGTTTTTGCTTAAAAGTTGGGGCTTTAAAATATATGTTTATAATTCTTAAAAACAAAATGCATTTTTTTTTAGCAAAAAACAGATTAGCAAAAATGGGAAGCCAAGGATCCCTAGCATGTCTTTTTTTTTTTAAGACAGAGTTTCACTAAGTTGGTTAGGGCCTTGCTTCGTTCCGAGTCTGGTTTTGAACTTGTAATCTTCCTGCCTCGGTCTCCCAAGCTGCTGGGATTACAGGCATGTGTCACTGTGCCCAGCCAGCCCTAGTATATCTTTTAAAGTTACCACTGGTAGTCTTCTGAGGAGGGATCCAGTGGAGATGTTTTAGATTATTCTATAGAGTTGTGATTATTCTTTAGAATGGTGAGTACAAACTCCCTGGATGGCGATTCATGAGGACACTATTTTATTGTAGTTTCGGAAGACTTGACCTGCTCTTAAACAAGCAAATTTTATTTTATGTAGGAGTAACTGTCTCAGGATTCCCCTTTGACTTTGGACGTAACCCCTACAAAGGAAAACGCCCTTTGAAAGACATAATTGGATCATACAAAAACCGTCACAGCAGTGGAGACCCTTCCAGCGAGGGCATGTCAGGTGGTGGCATAAGCAAGGCAGCCTCCGAGTTGCAGCTGCAGGTTCAGAGCCAGCAGGAGGAGCTGGAGCGGCTGAGGAAGGACCTGTCCAGTCAGAAGGTAACTGGTCTTCAGACTTCTGTCTTACCCCACATTTGCTGGTCGAGCCCTAGGAGGAAAGCCTGGTTCACAGTCCATCTCCCAGGAGAACTCTTCACCAGAGCTTCATGTTGCCACGGCACCATGCTGGGCACTGTGCTCTACCCAGTCTTTGAATTTCCAGGGAGAGGGAAGGTCCCTTTAAAGATGTTGCAGGACAGTGCTCTCTGCACCCTTGCCCAGTTCTGCCCCTGAGGCTGACTCTCTAAACATGGCTTTAGCCCAGAGTTCTTTAACTGTTTAAAGAGTTTCCATGTCCTGTTGAGCAGCGTAGTTTCTTTATGAGCTGATCAAACCTAATTAAACTTAACGGCTCGGCTGTTCAGTGAATCTCAGGGCACAGATTCTCTAATACTGATGAACATTTGCCAGGAACCATTGCTAATTACAGTATGCACTCCATTATTTCCTGTTTCCTATTATTGTTCTCCAGTCACTCTTCATGGAGTAAATATTTTTTCCTTTCTATTTTTGTGATCTTTCAAGAGGAAGTTCAATATTAAAGTGTTTCCAGTAAAGTTTCTGCATTTCCTCAAATTCCAGCGATTGCTCCCTGTAGCCTTGTCATGATTTCTGCTTTTCCTCTCTTCCTCTGCTCTCCCTGCCCTTCACCTGATCTTCCTGTTGGCTCAAAGGAGCTGGTTCGGCTGCTCCAGCAGACAGTTCGGTCATCCCAGTATGACAAGTATTTCACAAGCAGCCGACTCTGTGAGGGGGTCCCTGGGAACATGCTGGAGCTTCTCCATCAGAAGGACGACCAAATTCTGGGACTCAGCAACCAGCTGGAGCGGTTCACCCTGGAAAAGGAGAGTCTCCAGCAGGAAGTGAGGACACTGAAGAGCAAGGTGGGGGAGCTCAACGAGCAGCTGGGGATGCTGATGGAGACCATCCAGGCCAAGGACGAGGTCATCATCAAGCTCAGCGAGTCTGAGGGCAGCGTGTCTTCTCCCTCTTCCGGGCCCAGCTCCCCCTTGACTGCCCCAGTCAGCAGGGATCAGCTGGAGCTGGACAGGCTGAAAGTAAGAGCAGGGCCTGGGCTCTGATTGCTGGGATGGAGATCCAGAAACCAGTTAGCTTTATCACGTCACTCCACAGGCACTGGCCTCTGTCAGCTAATTTGTTGAGACAGCTGAGCAACTGTGCCCTTTTTTAGGTTGGGGGGGGCGGGGACAAGTGTAATAGAACTTACAGTCAAGTAATAATCGTTGTTTATTATTATTAACTAATAATAATAATTATTATTGTTTACAGCGCTGAGGATGGAACCTAGTGCCTCCTACATCTAGGCATGTTCTGTACCACTGAGCTCCACCTCCACTCTTGACATTCTAAGGAGCTTCTCTAAAAAAATGAAACTTTTGGTCCAACACTATTGCCATTGCTTCAAGGAGCTAAGACTTCCCTTTCTATTTATTCCACCCATAGGACTTCATTATTCCACAGAACCTATTCATGTACCTTCTGGGTACATGAATACACATATAAACTTAATTTTTACCCACCACAGGACCTAACACAGGCCTGGGCAGGAGCATTGTTGCCAATAACTAGTATAGGGCCAGCTGGAGAGGTGGACCTGCTCCAGACAGGCCCAGGAAGTGGCCTGCTCAGGCTCTGCCCAAGGTGGGTGGGTCCTGACACCTAGAAGGGAGGACAGCATGTCTCTCTGGGCTAGCCCTAGGGTAGGAGGCTGGTTCCTAAACAGCAATGACTCTCCCTAGTCACACCTAGGGTGGTGGCAAGCAGATGAGGTAGGAGGAGCACCCAGCTCTTATGGTAGGCAAGGGCAAATCTGCATATCATAAGGATATGCCTGCAGAGAAGCTTGGTCCAGAGGGGAGAACTGAGTGGTCCTGCACCACTGTCAGGTCATAGAAAGTGTCACCAAATCTTGCTGCTACTAGTTCTATTCCTGAACCTTTGTTATAAAGGTTTCAGTTAGACAAATGTCCTGTAGGACACAGGGGAGAGCCCAGGTGACCCCAGGCAATTCTGTARCTACCAGCCCCACTTGGCCCCAAAGTGCCTCTCACTCTCTTCTTGCAAATAATTTGGCTTCAAGGATGCTTGCCTGCACAAACAGAGTTTATCCTTGAAGGGCAAAGATTTGTTGCTGTCGAGGTTATCACTGAGCATTCACTTCTTGCCTTGCTATTTCTTTCGTATACTGGCAACAGGTTGAATGGGTGAATGGTGAGCAGGCCAGGGACCTTGAAGACAACTCCAAAATGGAGGTTAAAAACCCTGGAATAATAGTAGCATCACCAGAATGCCTAGATGATCTCCCATAGTGACCACATCTCAGTGACAGCATTCCCTGAATATGAGAAGCCCTGAAGATTTGTTAGTATAACAATAAATTATTGTTAGTAAAACAATAAGACAACAAAAAACCCAATATCATTACTTTATACTTATGTACTAGAAAGACAGCCTCTTTAAAACAGAGGCCATGGTTAGTGTTGCCAATAGAAGTCAATTTTGTTTATATACACAATTGTGACTATCCTTGACCCTGATAGACATCAATCCCATCAATAATATACTTAGRGGCTGGGGATGTGGCTCAAGCGGTAGCGCGCTCGCCTGGCATGCGTGCGGCCCAGGTTCGATCCTCAGCACCACATACAAACAAAGATGTTGTGTCCGCCGAAAACTAAATAAATAAATATTAAAAAAAAATAATAATATACTTAGATAATACCAGTTGAAATTTACATATTGCAAGCTTGTCTATTTTTGTAGCTTGTAGAGACGGATGCTTGAGCATTGGGTTTCCAAGCTGTGATGGGCCATGCTTGGAGTGGAGGAGTGTGGGGGACAAGTTTTCCCAGGGAGCCAAGCCAGGCATGTGATGTGTGTGCCACACAACTGCTGCGACTCTGCATGGCTCCCTTTGGAGACCACTGACAGGGTTTACCAGAGAGGACTCCCCCTCCCTTTCCTTGTTATAGCTTAATGGCTGGGATGGTTCCAAAACAGTTGTGAAATCTTTTTCCCCAACTTTTCTCAATGGTTTTAAAGCATGTGACTCTAAAATTCCRCAACAGTGAGATTAAGTGGGGACAGTTTACGAAGAGGCAGGATTCTAAGTGGGAGAGTGACACCTGCCTGGGTAAGGACCTACCTCATGTTTCCTGACATAGTTCGGCCCAGGGCCTGTTAGTGCCATTGCCAGGAGCATCTGTCCCCCTGCCATGCAGAAGATATTCATGCCTAATCCACCTCTGCCCTGCAAGGATTGAAAGGACTTGAGAGAGGAGGAGGGAGAGCTTAGAGTATTCATTTCAACATGTGTTTTCTCCTCATCCTGCAGTTCTAGGTTGTATGGTGGAAGAGGAAGTATTGATTTCTTCTTTGACCCCAAATTTAAAGCACCTAGGTGCGGAAAAAATAATAATGATATATATATATAGCATATATAAATAGCCATTCTGTATTTTTATATATAAACAAGCATAAATGTTTGACATGTGTTTTTATATATTTTTATATTTTTATTTTTAAGATATACATCTTCTTATTATTGCTGTTACTAGTCATTTTTCTTATTCTGTTATCAGTGAATATGGCCTATAAAAATTTCTGTGTTTTGGGACTTACTGTTTTATTTTTCTTTCTTTTTTTTTGTTGTTGTGTATGCTGGGGATTGAACCCAGCTCCTCATGCATGCTAAGCAATCACTCCACTGTTGAGCTACATCCACAGTCCTTACTAACTTTTATGTGGTCTGACACATGATCATGTTTTATTTCTATAGTATTTTGAGGTAGGGGCAAAATATTGGTCCTAGGATTTTGGCAGCCTAGTGACTTAAGTACAACACAGGGTATTCTAAGGGTTAAAGGAGGTGGTCCGCATGAAGCCCAAGTACATAGTGCCTGGCACTTTGTGGGGTTTTAACTGTCAGATGTTATTATTGCTGTGATCATCATCATCATCTTTGTAGAGGAATATCCTTAAAATAAATGCTCTGGATTTACCTAGACTTTAATACAAAGCATAATTTAAAGACATAGATGTGGGGGCCGAGTTTATAACTCACTTGGCAGAGTGCTTGCCTTGGATGCACAAGGCCTTGGGTTTAATCCCCAGCACCACACACACACAAAAAAAAAAAAAAAAGAAGAAGGATATAGGTGTAGCTCTCACCACCCTACCTCCTATCACTCACTGGGTCTCTGTCCATCATTGCCGAGTGTATTCTTAAGTTGCTGTYCAGTCCATCTGCCTTTGGTTGGCCTACCTTGTGGTAATGTGTTTGTCCACTGCTAAGGTGCTGAGAGAGAGGAGAACACCATGATTCAGGTCAGAAAACAAAATCAATGGGCCTCCTTTTGGGTTTGACATTTGGTGTTTTGAGGACTTGACTTGCTGAGGCTGATCGGGGTGATGCCTGTCCAAGTGCTGGTGGCAGTCAGGGCTGAGCACACAGGTCGGGAGCCCACCAGGCCAGGCCCTCAGAAGCCTGCTTCCCTACCCAGATGCTTCCTGGATGGACACCTCAGTTCTTTTCATCATCTCTCTGGGAGAGAGAGATGATGAAAATAGCTCCCTGAGAGTTGTGAGGTTTAAATGAGATCAAGAATGTCACACGMTTCACATGGCACTTGTAACTCGTACCAGATGCTCCATAAATATCTGAAATTAAAGGGGCTATTGAAACTTTTTCAGTTCTTCTGCGTTTTAGGGGAGAAATTGTATATCCTCAAGGTAGTTTCAAGTTTGGAGGTTGGGGCATGTCTGTGGACATATCCCTGGAGAATAGCAGCTGTCTCCTTCCTGTGATAACACAGGGATCAGTCTTTCTTGACCACCCTGGCCTACCCTTGGAGCTGCCTTGAACAAACTCTGTTCTGTGACTGAGGGATCAGAAATTCTTCAGGAACCTCATGCACCAACCTGTCAGGTTATACAAGAGAAATAATTATAAACAGTGGGGGGCAGGGGACACATTTATTAAAGACTGAATTTATAAGGAGCATTTAGAAATCATTGCCTAAAAGGTAGTTCTAATTAATCTCTTTTCTAGAAGCTTCTTCAATTCATTGTTTTCTTTTATTATAATGGTCTGAAAGTTTTATAACATTATTTTCATAGCATTTTACATGAAAACTCTTCTCCCCCTTTTTTATTTGTTTTTGGACCTGGCAGAATTTGTTATTGGCTTGTTACATTCTCTTTTTTTAAAAAATAAAGATATTTTTAGTTGTAGATGGACAGTGCCTCACATGTGCTAGGCAAGTGCTCCACCGCTGAGCTACAGCCTCAGCCCCATTGTTACACTCTCTTAAAGACATAAAGTAAATATGGCAAAAGTAAACAGTTGGTGAACTAGGTGAATGGCATTCTTGGGTTTTGTTTTGTTTGCTTATTTGCTTTGTAGTGCTGGGGACTGAACCTGGCCTTGTGCATGCTAGACCAGTGCTCTGCCATTGAGCCACAGTCCTGCTCCTGTGGTACTTTTCTTTCATTGTTTCCATAAGTTTGAAATTTTTCAATACAAAAAATAGAGGAGCCTATTTAAGTGGCTTTTCCATTGTAGATTATAGTTCTTCATTATTTAGTGTAATTTTCAGTTAAGGGTTTTTATGCGTTTGTAGTCTTTTTTAAAATAAACTGGATAAGTAAAAATGAGAACCTGCCGAGAATCTGTTTAATTTCTCTAGTTTAAAAAGACAAGATTATAAGTGTTTGCCTTTTTTATACCACCTCGGCGAATATGAATAGATAACATAATTGCATAGGTTTAGGAGATAAGTCTTTTTTTTTAATATATATATTTTCAATTGTAAATGGACATGTACTTTTTATTTATTTATTTTATGTGGTGCTAAGGATTGAACCCAGTGCCTCACACATGCTAGGCAAGTGCCCTACCACTGAGCCACAACCCCAGCCCCCAGGAGATAAGTCTTATTTACCTCTTGTTTATCTCCTGTCATCAATTGAGAAAAATCATCACCGTTAAGGAGCTGTTTTTCTCCCTCCTTGACAATGCTTAGGCAGGCACTGTTGCTGTCAGGAGGGGGAAAAAGATCAGTCAGAAAGTTCCTATTAAGAGCTTCCAGTTCCTTATAACTTGCTCTAACTTAGCAGAACTATTTGATGAGACAGCAAGATGCTAATTACATAGGATAATTAGTCAACATTCAAGCAGTGTGAATTGATGGTCTTTGTTTTTTGCCCCAACAGGATAATCTGCAGGGGTACAAAACCCAAAATAAATTTCTAAATAAAGAAATTTTGGAACTCTCAGCTCTACGAAGAAATGCAGAAAGGAGAGAGAGAGATCTGATGGCAAAGGTGGGTCTAGATGAGCATATTCTATTATCTGATGGGAGGGAAAGTTAGGAAACCATTTTTAAGTGGTTGTGCTTTAAAACCATTTCAGCTGCCATGGTTGGAGTGATATGACCACTGGTATCAAAATGTATTTAAAATATATATTGTACATAGATCCATGTACTTTATCTTTGATGAGGYAAAGATAAATGCCCTTAGATGTAGCTCTCATTCGCATGTATATAATTTTAATGGCATTTTCGGGGGGGGGGGAGGTTAATAAAATCACCAAGATTAATTTAATTTTCTTAAATATTTATTTTTTAGTTGTAGTTAGACACAATAACTGTATTTCACTTATTTATTTTTATGTGGTGCTGAGGATCAAACCCAGGGTCCCGCACATGCGAGGTGAGCGCTCTACTGCTGAGCCACAATCCCAGCCCCTTGAATTTTTTTTTTTTTTTTTTAAGAGAGAGAGAGAGAGAGAGAATTTTTTTAATATTTATTTTTTAGTTTTCTGCAGACACAACAT